TGACCGCTAAGATGAAAACTGGTACAACCCAATAAACAATCAGTACCAACGTAAGCGGAAATGACCATTACTATACGTATAAATTCGTGTATACAATCAAATGCATAATTTCTTGCATTGTACGGCTTCAATAATGGCTGTATTTTATAAGGTAACTTATATTCCGACGTAGAATTTGCCATAACTGCGTTGAACGATAATAGAAATTTAATAAAATTATTCGTCTATTTTTTACACCTCATATTTTTGTCACTTGATCGAATACATTAAACAAAAAAAAAAAAAAAAAAAGAAAAAGAAAAATGTATATATATATATATATATATATATATATATCTTTTTTTATTCAAAAATCGAAAAATGTATTCGTTTGTTTAACGATATACGATCCAAAAAGAATAAAAAAGAGAAAAAAATTACATATTCACATGTCGGCGATTAGTTAAGTCGAACTGAATCTAAATTTATTGTTTAAAAAAAAATTGATGATTCATGGTTACCATTGTTATATCTATTCAAACATTTATATATAAAAGTGTAGGTCATTTTTGAATTTTTTTTTCCTTTTTGGATTTTTTTTATCGTTTGGACAATGACAAAGGCATATACTTAATTAATTAATGTTAATTTCGAGACTATCGAAATATCGAAATTCAAATTATCGAAATAATTACCCATTAGTATATTCGGTATGATAGATTTAAAATAATATAAGAGAAGTAGGAACGTCGGCAAAAAAAACAAAATGACGATGTATCTATAAGAAAATTTGTTATATTTTAAAAATATCGATCTCTCTTCGTCATTTTCATAATTATCATTTGTATAATCTATTTCCGTTTCGATCAGAAATCGCGACAATGTACGATACTTTATTCGTATCATTAAAAGTTTTATTATCGTCATTACTACCGATATGTTTTCCATTAGGTTCGCTATAACATAATGACTATTTTTAATGTATTTTATAAGATCCAATAGTGCTAATATATTATAAACACAGCCATAAATTATAAACGATATGAATAATATGTCGCGAATTTCTAAAGGCCAAATTCCTGACAAATTAAGCAAACGTTTGGTGATTGTTATCGCTTTTAATGTATTCGAGAAATCTGTCACCTGAAAAAAAAAAATAAAAGATAATAATAACAAGATTAAATAACATTTGATTGAGTACTGTGGTATAATGCAAAAAAAAGATTAGTCTAAATTAGAGAAATTCGTTAACTGAAAAAAAAAAAATAATAATAATGATAAATGATGTTCGATTGAATACTGTGATATTAAATAAAAAGAAAAAAAAAAAAAGAAAAAAGAAAGAAAGAACAAATCACGAATAAAGCACTTTTACGATTAATAATTAAAGAAATATATAAATAATAATAAATTAGAGAAATCTTTCACCTGAAAAAAAAAAAATAATAATAATAATAAAATATAATTAAAAAATAACGTAGGATTAAATACTGCGATATAATGCAAAACAAAAAAGTAACGAATAAACCGCTTTTACAGTTAACCTAAATTAAATTAGATTAAATCATATATAATCAAATGATCATCGTGTTTAAATAATTGTTCATATTCTTTGACATTTAAAACAAAACATCTTCAATATTTATATAAGTGTTTGTAAAATTTCTTTGGGAACTATTTGGCCATTTTGTTAATTTTAAAGATTCAAATATGTATGATGATATGGTCGCCATTTTGAAAAATCATATTGAATAATCAATTTTATATTACCGATAATAATTTTCGCAATAATACTGGTCGAATAATACTGGTTCGCAATAATACCAGAAGCCTTACGAAAATGTATATGACGATAATATTAAATTTTCGATGTAAAAAATCGTGAAGAAATAAAAAAGTAACACATATATTACTACAAAATACGAGACCAGCTTCTATATCACATAAACATAAATAATTATATATTATATTTACAAACACAAAATAATACGAAATACGTAACAGTATATAAAGTTCATTTTGAAAGGAAAAAATATTCGATAAATTTAAATTGCACATTTAATATATGCAATATAATTTAATATATACAATTTAAATTGCATACTTTTCCAACTATCTGTAATTAAAAAGGACTATTTTGTTAGATATATAATATATATAAAGATTTATTTTGCCTTTCCTTTGTATTCAATAATTAATATGTAATACACAAAATAAGTTATTATATAGATACTTAGTAATTAGTATCAGAATACTAATAATAATTATTATTAGTATCTATTACTAATTAGTTAAATTACCAACATCGACCGGTAACAATCAATTACATTTCGATCCACGGAAGGACAAAAATTATATTAATAACTCCCGTAGATAAGACAGAAAAATATACCGCCGGTAATATCATCTGATCGGAAGGTAGCTAAATATGAATTAGTATCTGACGGTAGAAAGTAGTATTGAAACTTACTGGATACAAATTTTAACACAATTCTTATATATACCAAAATTTATATCTAAATAGATACTTTCTATAATAAAGAATATATTTACTATACTAAATAAATAATATATTAAGTATTACTTAATGTAATTAATTTATTTATTTATGAATTAATTATATATGAATTAATTATAATTATTATATATGAAAAATAATTTATAATAAAATAATTTTTAAAGGCCTATAAATATCATATAAAATCACCTACGTCACAAGTCAACGATCATACCGCGTTGTAAAGCACCAGTTCTCGTCCGATCACTGAAGTTAAGCAACGTTGGGCACGGTTAGTACTTGGATGGGTGACCGCTTGGGAACACCGTGTGTTGTTGACATTCTTTTATTTTCTTTTTTATTTTTTTTTTTTATAAATAATCTAAATTACAATAAAATGATATGCGTCATTGTACGTCACTGTTACTCATCTACACTGAATCTAAGATGCCTGTTTCGTTGATCGCAATCTTACTTCCTAACAAAGCGAAGAAATTAAAGAATTTTGTATGTACTCCTTTTTTTCCATATGGTACACTACATTTTACTTAACGGACGTAAAATACTTTGCAGAAATGAAATATATCAATTCTTAGAATAGAATAGAATTTTTAGAATTTCTAGAATAAATCAATTTTTTTAGAAGTAAAAATACATATAAAATGAAGGTTTTTTCAAGTCAACGATCATACCGCGTTGTAAAGCACCAGTTCTCGTCCGATCACTGAAGTTAAGCAACGTTGGGCACGGTTAGTACTTGGATGGGTGACCGCTTGGGAACACCGTGTGTTGTTGACATTCTTTTTACTTTCTTTTTTATTTTTTTTTTTATAAATAATCTAAATTACAATAAAATGATATGCGTCATTGTACGTCACTGTTACTCATCTACACTGAATCTAAGATGCCTATTTCGTTGATCGCAATCTTACTTCCTAACAAAGCGAAGAAATTAAAGAATTTTGTATGTACTCCTTTTTTTTCATATGGTACACTACATTTTACTTAACGGACGTAAAATACTTTGCAGAAATGAAATATATGCTAGAATAAATCAATTCTTTTAGATTTAAAAACGCATATAAAATAAAAAACGTTTAAGTCAACGATCATACCGCGTTGTAAAGCACCAGTTCTCGTCCGATCACTGAAGTTAAGCAACGTTGGGCACGGTTAGTACTTGGATGGGTGACCGCTTGGGAACACCGTGTGTTGTTGACATTCTTTTTACTTTCTTTTTTATTTTTTTTTTTATAAATAATCTAAGTTACAATAAAATGATATGCGTCATTGTACGTCACTGTTACTCATCTACACTGAATCTAAGATGCCTATTTCGTTGATCGCAATTATACTTCCTAACAAAGCAAAAAAACAAAAAAATCTTGTATGTACTCTTTTTTTTTATATGGTACACTACATTTTACTTAACGGACGTAAAATACTTTATAGAAATGAAATATATGCTAGAATAAATCAATTTTTTTAGATTTAAAAATGCATATAAAATAAAAAACGTTTAAGTCAACGATCATACCGCGTTGTAAAGCACCAGTTCTCGTCCGATCACTGAAGTTAAGCAACGTTGGGCACGGTTAGTACTTGGATGGGTGACCGCTTGGGAACACCGTGTGTTGTTGACATTTCTTTTTACTTTCCTTTTTATTTTTTTTTTTTTTTATAAACAACCTAAATTACAATAAAATGATATACGTCATTGTACGTCACTGTTACTCATCTACACCGAATCTAAGATGCCTGTTTCGTTGATCGCAATTATACTTCCTAACAAAGCAAAAAAACAAAAGAATCTTGTATGTACTCTTTTTTTTTATATGGTGCACTACATTTTACTTAACGGATGTAAAATACTTTGTAGAAATGAAATATATTAATTTTTAGAATAGAATAGAATTTTTAGAATTTCTAGAATAAATCAATTTTTTTTAGAAGTAAAAATACATATAAAATAAAGGTTTTTTGAAGTCAACGATCATACCGCGTTGTAAAGCACCAGTTCTCGTCCGATCACTGAAGTTAAGCAACGTTGGGCACGGTTAGTACTTGGATGGGTGACCGCTTGGGAACACCGTGTGTTGTTGACATTTTTTTTCTTCTTTCTTTTAGTTTTTTTTTTATAATTAAAACAAGGATCAAATAATGTGCATCATCATACACGTCACTTGCCACATTCCGTCCGCATCGGATCAAGACCAATAACTCAGATTGCAAAAAAAAGTCTTTCGTAAATAGTATCGACCATATAACACTTTTCGTTTAGACGGACGATTTTATTGTCGTACAACATTCGAACTAAGAAGAAAAGCTTTGTTTCTTCTAATGCTTTTGAGTGAAAGATTTGTACAACTAGTTGAAACAATTCTTAGCGAATGAAATACTTTATGATGTGTACCCATTGGTCGCTTCATACGAAGCTTTGTGATTGGTCAGACGCTCATTGGATGCGCTCTCTGTTGGTGGCGGATGTTACTTATGATTGTATATTGTGAAAAAGGAGGTTAGTATTTTTATTCAGCGAGAAAGTATTCTTGATTAACGTTAACGATTGACTTATGCATTCAAAAGTATAATTATTAGATTCAAAACGATTTTCTCAACAAATTATTGAACAAAAGTATCTTTCTTCTATATCATTGAATTTACTTCGATTCGATTTTCGTTACCTCGTAGAAAAAGGTTATGTGATGTTATTCAATCAAAAGAAGGTAACCTTGATTTTTTATTAAAAACAAATAATATCTGCAATTTTTATTATGTTCCATTTTATTTTTCTTTATTTTTATAATTTAATTGACATACGATGAGCCATGTTCACTTCATTTGTTACGTGCATGTAATTTTTTCCTGTTATATACTTGGTTATGTTTCAATTTTATATTAATTATTACATTTGACATAGACAGGAGTTAAAGGAATATTTGAATAAGTAAGAAAATAAAGGATATCGATACTACAGAACACTTATTCTATTATTTTAGAAGTTGCGAAGTGAAGTTTGGATTGAAAGTTCATTTAGTACATCAACAATTTAAACTTCTATGTCTTCAAGTTTTTCAAGAACGAAACTTTGTGAAATCTGATGAAGTATATTCAAATAAGACAGTGTAAGTCATAAAGATATTAATATAATTATAGTTTTGAGTATTCTCCATTTAATATTCAATAATTTTATAATTTGTACTTTGCAGTAAAAGGAGAATAAATATTATTAAAGATATCGCTGAAAGAAACGCAATAGTTTGTAGTATTTAATAATTTCTATTAGTAATTGTAAAGCCATGAATAATATTTTACATAGGATAACTATTAGGATAGTGAAAAAAATGGAAAAAGAACTTAGACGAAGAAATAAGGAGATGTTTGAGACAATTTTTTGATGGTAAGATTATTAAGACATTATTATGTTATAAAAAAGCTGTTTGTACAGTCTTCTTTCATATATTATCAATGGATGAATAACCTGATTCAAAAGTTTTTTTCAAATAATTGGTGTAATTATAAAATCATTAGAGTATCTAATATCTACAAGAATTTTTTACCTGAGTCTATTATGTTGACTGTAAAGCCACTTTACAGAGGTTTGACAAATCCAGATCTATTGAAGAAATGTCTCACGAAGAAAACACAATATAAATGAATCATTATGTGATCAAGAGTACCAAGAAATGTATTTGTGTTATTTCATACTTTGTAGCTTCATTTATATGATACTGTCATCATATTTAAAGAGGATTATGTAGGCAGATTGAAGGAGGTAGGAGGTAAAACCTCCATATTGGAAGAACAATAAGATGCAAGTTGATGATGAAAAACTATAAGCTTATATATTTTCTTAAAAGACAAGATCTGTGAAAAGATGAAAGAAAATATATTTGTATAATAGAGAACAAGATGAACATCATAATGATTGATGATTTTAATTATTGTTTTCACTAAAAAGTAAGTTTTTATTTAATTTATTATTTATTCACAATTTCTGACAAACTTAATTTTTTTCAACAAATAATCCTTTTTATCAGAAACTATTTAAGATTGACTTTTAATTTTTCAATAATTTATTTATAACTAAAATTAAAATTCATTTATAATCAAAATAATTAAACATTCTTCTAATAAGATTCATACTTCTAAGAAACATAAGAAACATTCTTCTAACATTTAGTTTCTAAAATAACAAATATATAACATAGAATAAACACAAAAACATTGAAAAAGAACAAGTATAAAAAATAAAACAGAAGGATTTTTTTTACAGTTCTTAGTATATATAATTCAATAAAAGTGGAATAGTAAATTCATAAAGCATATATAAGTAACCTATGGAAGTTTTACTAAATCGAATCAAACAAGAGTTCTTTAAGTTCTTTAGAAAATTGGTCATGAAGTTATTTATTTAAATTATTGAGATAGATCACTTATAATACTCTCCTTATTATTTTCTATTTAGTGTTGCTATTATTTTTTATATATTTGCAACTAGGATGTGTGTGTGCGTACGCGCGTGCGTGCGCGCACGCGCGCGTGTGTGTGTATATATATATATATATGTCATGAACTGAGTATTTAATACAGGCATTATTTATAATTCCCTATCATTGTGAATAGTGACAAATCAAAATTGTAATTGTAATAAATTTCAATGTTAGAATTGCATTATTTTTTTATAATCTTTTATAATAAACTTGTTATAGTGCCCAATAAAATATATCCAAAACAAATTATTTAGAAACATATTATTTTATTAATATAACTTATAATTAATTTTATACTAGTAGCGGATGAAAAGACTTTTGAAGTAGAAGAAAAAAAGGAAATATCAAAATTAATGAGTACATACATTTACATTTACGTTTACAGATTGATTTGGAAAAAAGATACACTATGGAAGTATCATTAAAAGAGAGTGAACAAAAAGTGTCGTTTAAGAATGTCAACAATCTCACATCCATTTGGCAGTTTTATTATGCTCAAAATATATTCATGTACTTTGATATACGAACGAACAGAATTTATAGGAAAATTATTGATGGAGAAATTGATATGAACATGTCCCAGTATCAATCGCATTAATCTCTTGATACGTTCAAAAGGAGGAAGAACGCTTCAATCAAAGGAGCTCATGAAAGATTCAGTGAGTTGTTTACTTGTGATTCAATTATTATTTCTGTATTATTTCATTTTGATTTAACTTAGAGATTTTTTATTTTCTTATAATATATATATCTTTGGTGGGCAAAAAAAGTATGAGTCAGATATACTATCATTAATTTTATAGAAAAGCACTTATAATATTTGAAGTGTGATATTAAATCAAACATTAGATTTTGGGTCTTGAAAATTGATATATGTGATATTCATTTGAAAACATTCTTATCTTTTTTAAATGACAACTTATATTACTTTTATCTTTATTTTCATTTTAATTTATATTTTATTTGATCGAGAATGAACATCCTAAAGTAGCTAAATAATGTATTTATGTTACTGTACATAATAGTACAAATTACAAAATACTTAACGGTTTAATTTATATGTATATATATATAAATATATATAAATTATATATGTATATAATATGTAATCGTTTAAATATAAATAAACTTGTACTATAGTTAGATTAAATTACAAAAAAAAAGAGATAAAATAGTATAACTTAATTTATATCATATTTTTGACATATATTATTAAAATTTCAGGTTAAAGATCAAGAAAGAAATACAATTGACTTATATGTTGTCTAGAATCATAATTAATGTACAACAATGTAGGATATTTTAACATATTGATCTCATTATTTTGTTCAGAATTTGATGTATACATTTTTACACCCAACAAAGATTTAATATTTATTATTTAGTATTTAAAAGTTATAAGAAGAAAAATTAATAAATAAATTATTATGGTCTTGTTAACGTTGGACATGCAAAAAATAACAGAAAATTGTTTTCCTTGAAATAATTATGTATTTATAATATATATATCTAAGTAAGTACGTATACGTAGCTGGGAAGATTAATAATTATTTTAATGCACGTTTTTCAGTTATTTTCTATGCATAAAAAGAAGGAATCAAGATTTCAATATCGTATAGTCATGATCTAAGACAATTGTAGTCTACCAAAAGCTTGGTATTTGGATGGACCGATAAGACAACACTTATACAAAATACTCTCTACTGTTTTTCATGTCACAGCTTCCGTGAGATTTAACCCTTTGAGTGCTGAATACTCGTGGCCTATGTAATCCGTACGGACGGCGCGCAGCTGGCACTGACGATCGCCGGGAACTGAATACTTTTTCGCGCAATAGAAACAATTGCCGAACATATACATTTGATCATAATACACTGATCATTTTTGCCAGGCGCGTATTTGCGTTCATAATCCATACTGATAGCATCTGTCGAGCGCGTATTTGCATTCATAGTCTATATCGATAGCTTTCGCTGGACGCATATATGCGTCCATACTACTCAAAGGTTATAATGATATTTTAAAGTCATGATCGTGATCGGAAAAAAAATCAAAATTTATTTTTATCTGAACGATTCTTGGGAGAGAATATACTTATTTGGTTTTATGCGACAAGGTGTATTTGAATGATAAGAGTATATCATTTGATATTATCAAAATTGAAATGAACCATTTTTGGATTCAATCAAGTACGAAGTACGCTTTTTATAAGTAGATACTGAGTTTCGTTGAACTAGTTTAGAATTGTTCATAGTATAATCGTAAATTTCACAGAATGAATTAGAAACATTGATTGCAATTTATTATAGTTCACTATTGGAATAGTAAATATATTATTACAGTTTAAAATTGCAAATTTATTACCACAAATATTTACATATATATTATTTTAATTATTTAAATGTTTATAAATTTGTTAATTATTTATATATTATTAATATAGAATTTATTTTTTAAAATAGTAAAATTTCTATCATACATGTCAATATATTAATCCAAAAATTATATATTGTATTCAAAGATGAATTTTAGTTACTATTGAAAGCGCACATGTAAGAGCGATTAAAGAAGAAATTAAACAAAAAGAAAAAGAAAAATAAGTCATGAATAAGATAATAATAATAATATTAATTTCAATTGAATCGTTGTATATACGAAATTTCTAAAGTGGCATCCATTTGATCGTAGGTTGTATCATGTTAACTATTATTTCTAAATTGAATAATTTTGAAGTCGAATTGAATTGAATTGAATTTAAATAGAATAATCTATGGAATAGAATGAAAATGTTTTTGAATGTCGAAAATTGTTATTAAAATAAATGATTTTTTTTTTTTTTTTTTTTACAAAATGATCTATTTATTAAAACACAAAATCTTCATTTTAAAGAATTAATTAAATTATTAAACCAATTCCATTGAAATTTTTGTTGAACAATTTTGCCAAATATTTGTGATGTTGTTTTGTTTTGTTTTTAATTTCATGGGGATTGTATAAAATAAATAAGCAATTTAATTCAAATAATATAAGTTTTATATATTATATATTAATATAAATTAATTAAGAAAAATTAATAAAATTTAAATATGATATAATTTATATAATAAAATATAATTATCTGGATAATATTATCTGGGTAATATAATACTATATGTTTGATTTAGACGTAATTCTAATCAAATATTCACTTAAAATTCAAATTGTAAATTTCATGCCAATTATGTAATTAAATAAAGATAAATGAAAGATTAAATAATATTATCTGAATAAAATAATTCAAGTTAACAAAATAAAATAAAATAAAATAAAATAAAATAAAATAAAATTGAAAGGTTCTTTGAAAAGAGAAGGTTGAAAAAATGTGTGCCCGAGTAAGAGCTTTTGTCAATTACGTTTCACAAATTTTCTTTCTCAATGGTTATGAGAATATTTTTTTTTTTATAAAAATATATGTATAGGAAGATATTTCTATAATTTTTCAAAAATTAATAAACAAAAAAAAATGTCCTTCGTGTATTTCTACGCGAATAGAAAGGAGATAAAAAAGAATTTATAAATTGAAAAAGATAATTGAAAGAAAAAAATTGACTTCTTTTTTTTTTAATTTAAATTTAATGCATAACACAATTTTAATTACCGTGTCGAATTAATTAAAAGAGAAAAAAATTAAAAGAGAAAAAGATTTAAAAAATTAATTTTCATACCTTACTTTTAATAATATCGATTAAATAGCATTTTCAAAATAAAGTATTCGTATAAATTAAGTTAAAAAAAAAATAAAAATAAAAATAATAGTAAAATTTAATATAATCGAATGGTATTTTTTTTTTAAGAAAAGATTGAAAAAAAAAATTTGGTCAAGTAAGAGGTTTCTCTATTTTTTCTTTTTTGTTTCTTTTTTTTTTTCAAAAGCTTTTTCCTTAACAGCTTACAATTACAAAAATATTTAAAAAAAAAAAAATTGATCTAAAGAAAATCTACATACATACGAATAAAAACATATTTTTTTGTAATTGTTGTAAAATGTTTTAATCAAAATCAATATTAATGAAAAAAAAAAAAAAGAAGAGAAGAAAATAAAAAACAAGGCAAGATAATAAAACGTAATTTTAATTATTTAGAATAGAATTAATTAATTAACAAAAAGAAGGAAAAAAAAAGAACAAAAGACAAAGAAAAAAAATGTCACATTTAATTACTCGTATCTTTAAAAAAATACAAATTAGGAAGCAAAAGAAAAAGAAGAAAGTGTGGTAAAGAAAAAATTAAATTTTCATATCTTACTTTCATGATAACTCTTTTTATTGTTTCTTCGTAGGAGGATTCCTTGTGACTGACAATAATTGCATGGATTATCGTACGAATATTCATCGATCGTAGCCAAATAATCGATCGAAAAAGAGAGAGAGAGAGAGAGAGAGAGAGAGAGAGAAAGAGAAAGAGAAAAAGAGGAACAGATAGACAGTTTAGAAAGAGAGAGAGAGAGAGAAAGAGAGGAACAGATAGACAGTTCAGAAAGAGAGAGAGAGAAAGAGAAAGAGAGGAACAGATAGACAGTTCAGAGAGAGAGAGAGAGAGAGAGAGAGAGAGAGAGAGAGAGAGAGGAAACTTTTCTTTGAAAGATAATTTTCAAGTCGCCAACCTATGATTATCTTAAATGTGTATCGTTCTTTATCCATCTTTTTTGTTTCCTTCGAATATTTTATAATTCTGTTCGTCCATAAGTTTTGTAAAGTTTCAAGTCAGAAAATGTCTCTTTGAAAAATAATGATGACATATAAAATGGGGAAAGAAGAAAGATGTTTTTTTAATGGCACACCGTAAGAAACTTTTCAACGAAGACGTTAGAAAATTTATTGCTCGGAGGAGACAATATCGCATAGGAACGAAAAAAGAAAAAAAAAAAAAAAAAAACAAAATGAAGTAATCGAATTTATGGAAGTTCTAATCGAATATGTATAATTCAAAGATAATAAAATTCGACGGTGAATCGAATGTCGCATGATCGTTATTGTGCTTGGACGAAAAAAAAAGAAAAAATAAAATAAATAAAGATGAAAGAAAAAAAAAATAAAAGTTAAGAAAATACAAAGTCGACACGAAGAAAGAAGAAAATTCTAAAAGAAAATAATTCTATGCTTATAGTAAAATAAATAAAAAGTATAAGCACAAAGGTGTATCCTGTTACGTGTGACTACTTTTGCTTGATTCAAAATGAATTGAAAGCGTAAAAAAAAAAGAAAAAAAAAAGAAAGAAAAAAAAAGAAAAGCAAAATATACGAAACGAAAAGAATAATTCGTAACGAAAAAATATATAGTAATAAAATACAATAATATGTAGTAATAACGTATCAAGTATAGTATGTAGAGTAATAAATAAAAAAATATAAAGTAGACGGTGTTTCCTTCCATATGACCATTTTTGTTTGATTTAAATTGTGAAATATAAAATCAAATACGAAATTGAATAAATATTAAAAGAAATATTTGAAAGGGATAATCTCAGCATGAATACAAGAAACGAAAGGTTCCTCCATATTTTTCATTTCTTTTCGAAAATTTCATTTTTTTAAATAATTTTCATTTAAACAATTTCTTTGATTAAAAAACAAAATATATATATATATATATATATATATATATATATATATGTATTAGTGTGCATTTTCTTGTATTTACCTATTTTTTATCAAAGATTATATTTTTTTTCATATAATGATAATACATAATATTAATAAATACGCCATAGAAACTTTTACAAGCTGCATAAACACAAAAAAGAAAAAATATATATATATATTTTCGTAATCATATTATTGTAAATTTATAAAATATATATTATTGTAAATTTCTAGCGATATATTATGAAATATATATATATATATTTCATAATATATTTTTTTTCATATAATGATAATACGTAATATTGATAAATACGCCATAGAAACTTTTACAAGCTGCATAAACACAAAAAAGAAAAAATATATATATATTTTCGTAATCATATTATTGTAAATTTATAAAATATATATTATTGTAAATTTCTAGCGATATATTATGAAATATATATATATATATATATATATATATATATATATTTTCATACATACACACCCATGTATAGATATTTTTATAAATAATATAATTGTACATTATATCAAGTATAATATACATATTATATAAATGTACATGTACATTATTATTATATTATTGCTATTATTATTATTATTATTATTATTATTATTATTATTATTATTATTATTATTATTATTATTATATCATATAATAATATTAATATATTAATAGAGTACAGACACATATATGTAATTTGTTATAAATTTATATATATATATACACATATATAAAGGATATCCCAAAATTTACACAAGAAGTAATTTTGATAAAAAACGCAAGTTTATAATTAATCGTAAATTTTTTATTGATTCATAAAATATACAGTATAGAGTTATTTATGGAATACTTTATCGAATAAATGGCCTCCATGACTTTGCTGGCATATACGGATTCTTTTTGTTGAAGTTTTCCATGAACGTTTGAAATGTAGCTGAATTTCGTTGATACAACTTTTCTTCCTTCAAGGTGTGCGTGATCACGTGTGCGCTTATTGACATAATCCTTAAATTTCAAAAAACCCCAAAGAAAGAAATCCAATGGCGTTAAATCGCATGATCTGGAGGGCCAATTCTGATCATCATAATTACACGACAAGGAAATGATTCATGCAATAATTGAATTGTTTTTTCGGCTGTATGACATGTGTCATCGTCTTGTTGAAACCACATGTCATTCACATTCATATCTTGCAATTTAGGCAGAAGAAACTGAATTATCATGTCGCAATAGCGAGCATCATTAATTGTTAATGCCTGACCAATCGTATTTTCGAAGGAGAATAATCCGATAATGCCTTCAGCCCAAAATCTGCATCAAACAGTGACATGTTCTGAATGCATTTGTTTCTACAAATGTTCGTGACAATCACACGTGAATTTTCTGAATCCCAAATGCGGCAATTTTGTCGATTAACTAAATCATCAAGATGAAAATGAGCCTCATTGTTGAAGACGAACCTTATTGTTGAAGACGAACCTCATTGTTGAAGACGAACTTCATTGTTGAAGATGAATCTCATTGTTGAAGACGAGCCTCATTGTTGAAGATGAACTTCATTGTTGAAGATCAGCCTCATTGTAGAAGATAATTTTGTTTGAAAAATCAGCATCCACTTGTTATTGTGTTCCATAATCCATTCAACGAACTCTATTTGCTATATGTGTGTGATCTTTTTACTTTACTTTGTAAGCATGAAAATGCAAATCTTGAAAATATGCTATAGAGAGTTTCTCGAAATCTCCAATTCTTGACCACGATTGAATTGATGTCTCTGGACTCTCAGCAACACTCTCACGAACTGCTTTGATGTTTCGTATTGAAGGCCAGAGTGTTTAAGATCATTAATTGATCCAATCTCCCTAAATTTTTAAAATTAATCTCTTCACAGTTGATGAATTACTATTCCTACTAAATTACTATTCCAATCATATTTTGTATGAAAATCGCGAACTGTAGCTGGCAAACCTTCATTATTTTTCAAATATTACTCAATAATGAAAATGCTTTATTTTTTCGTATAGCGTTCCATTAAAAAAAAAAAAAAAAAAAAAAAAAAAAGAAACAAGCTGTCACGCTGTTTTTTTTTGACAACACTTCACCGCACAAATGGTGCAAAATTCAAATCCAGCGTGAATTTTAGGACACCCTTTATGTATATATAAATCATGGATAAGGGACGAGAAATGATCGACCTATTAAAAAAAAAAAAAAAAAAAAAAAAAAAAAAAAAAAAAACAGGTAAAAAAAATAGCTAGCTTCCGTACTCTCAATGATTACTATTATTTTCTTTTTTATATTAAAGAAAAAAAAAACGAAGTATGGTGATCGTCCTACAGAGAAGAGACAATGAATCAAAAAATCGACAGCTCTCATACACTAGTAATTTATCGCCCGATAAAATGAAATTTTACGTCGATCTATCATAATGGCCGCCACTGTTAATCATGTCAATTGTATACATAAAAAAAAAAAAATGTCCGCTCATATACAAAACTGAGAGACTACATCACGTGAAGTTAGACAAAATGTTCGATTCGAACGATTGAAATGAATTAATAGAAAAATGAATTTCATCAGGATTACAAAGTGTTACTCGTAAACACTTAATTAAACTTATTACACTTACACAGGTAAGTAGTTACATACAAAAGTATTTTTCATCGTAATGATAATTGATTATCGACGCACGTTAATGTCAATTGTACTTTTTCTTATTTATACGTAAATTACATTTTTTTAATTAGAATTTAAATGCAAACGATCTAATTACTTAAGTACTTACGTATGTATGTATTTTTTCTAATTCTCTTTTTTTTTTTTTTTGTTTTAGTTCCTTTCTTTTCTTTTTCAATTCTTAATTGCTTTTTCTTTTTTTTTGTCATATTAATTAAATCGAAGCAGGTTTTCATCATGCTTGTTATACTTACGTCTCGATGAGAGTAACAAATGTTTCTTATGTGATCATGTTCGTTGTCTATTACTATACTAAGCGATCCATATACTATGAGAGTCGAACGAGAGAGAGAGAGAGAGAGAGAGAGAGAGAGAGAGAGAGAGAGAGAGAGAGAGAGAGAGAGAGAGAAGAAAAAAGAAAATTGAAGAATATAAGAACGTATTTGTAAATTACAAATGCATACGTGGATAGGAAAATAATGATATCGAGTAGCTAACGAAAAAAAAAAGAAAAAAAAAAAAAAAAAAAAAAAAGAAAAAGAAAAGAGAAAAAAAAAATTGGACTATGGGATCGTGCACAAGGATCATTAATTTTTAAAAGTGATGCTAATCGATTGATTCGATACGAATAATAAAGTTAACCGTATTGTTACGAGATATGAACGCATATTGAAATATTAATACTCGTGAAACGTACAAAAGTTTTCGTCAAGTCGAACGTATATTTCTTTTTCTTTTTTTTTTCTTTTTTCTTTTTGTTTTGTTTTTCTCCTCCTACTAATTTGGAAGAAATAATGTAATATTTGTCGTGAAACGTTGAAGAAAAAGATAAAGAGAAATAGATAGATAGATAGATAGATAGAGAGAAGAAAGTTATACGTGCCTTTGACTGTCACAATACAAAAAAAAAAAAAAGAGAAAAAAAAAGGAAAAGAAAAAGAAAAAGAAAAAAAAAACGGAAAAAAGAAGGAAATTCGACGAATTATTTATAATCGTCTCGTTGTTTCGTTTAGAAATTGGTTGTTTATTAATTTTCTTTCTTTTTCATTATTTTTTTTATTCCTTTCTTCTCTCTGTCAGGAGGAGAAAAATATTAAATAAAAAGAAAAAAAAGAAAAGAAAAAGAGAGAAAAAAGAAAAAAGAAATGAAAAAGCACGCTCGTATGAATGCTCATACTGATACATTGGACATAGTGTATTAATTATTTAAATGTTTTTTTTTTCTAATCGCGAAAGAACGTCTACGAGTTTTTCCATTTTCTTTCACTTTTCCTTTTTGTTTTTTTTTCTCTTCTTCCTTTTTTTCTCTTTTTTTTTTTTCATTCGATCGTTTGCGTCACGAGAGAAGAGTTTACCTGGACGATTGAAAACTACATTTTTACTTTAGTTAGTTGCGAGCTTGCGAGAAAAGCTCATGTTGTTTCGTTCGACGAGAAGATAAATAAAGAAACAAATAAATAAATAAATAAATAAATAAATAAATAAATGAATAAAAAGAAACAAATTATGGCAAGTACGAAAAGTTTGAAAGCACTTTTTTTTTATATTTAAAAGTGATTTGGAAGAAAAAAAATGATTCGTAATACTCGCGTAATAAAAATTGATGATAATAATAATAATAATAATAATAATAATAATAATAATAATAATAATAATAATAATAATAATAATAATAATAATAATAATAATAATAATAATAATAATAATAATAATAATAATAATAATAATAATAATAATAATAATAATAATAATAATAATAATAAAGAGAATAATAATATTAATAAGATGCAAAAAAAAAATAAAATAAAATAATTAAGTGTTATTTATCAAATTTTAAAAAAGGAAACCGATTTGTAATTAATTTGTATTATATATATATATATATATATATATATATATATATATATATATATATATATATATATATAGCGAATTAAAACAAAAATAAACAGAAAAAAAGAATTGTATGATATCTAATATGAATGAATTAAATGATTTTAAAAAATCATAAGTATATTTTATAATTTTGTCACTTTTATATACTATTAATATATAATATATACTTATAATATTAATATATATATATATATATTATATTCATATATAATATATAATAATAAATAAATAAAAAAATATATACATACGTATTGAATTAAAAAGAAAGAAATTGTATCGTATCTAATTTGAATGAATTAGACGAATTAGAAAAATCGTTAGTATACTTTCATCACTTTTATATATAATATATATATGTATATATATATATTTTTTTTTTTTAATACAATATATATATATACTGAATGAAAAAAAAGTTTCGTAGTATTGTAAATCGATTACCAATCAATTAGTATTATATTAAAATAAAATATTAAAATTTTATAAATTACATTATAATATAATACTAATAATTAAATATTAATAATACTAAATTGAAATAATTAAATAAAAATTATAAAGGAAAAAAAAAGGACTATATAATATCTAATATGAACGAATTAAACGATTTGGAATTAACGTAATTGAAATTTCATAATTTTGTGACTTTTTTAGGAACTCGAGTTCGATGATACCGTGAACGTGATAGATATGACGAAACGCACGATGAATTGTGCCGGTATTTGGCCAGAAAATACGAACGAGCCTAAATTTATATTTTTTGCAATATATTTAACAATACATTGTTCATTAGCTGTCATCGATATATCAATGAATATAACGAATTTAACTTATATCGTTGGATGTCTATTGGAAAATGTATTCAATTTGATGGCGCTATTGAAAATATGCATTTGTAGGATAAAAAGAAAGTCATTAGCAAGATTGTTGGAAGATGTCAGAACCGATTTTATTATTGACAATTATAATACCATTGATGAAAAAATAGCTTTTTTAAGTTACAATAAATTTAGTCGTAAATTCGTTAAATTGACTTTGATCGTATGCTTGGCCGGTGCATGCTCTTATTACTTCATGTCGTTGGTGAATAACGTTGAAATGGGTAATTAATTTTATGTAATTTAATTCTAATCGATATGTATATATAGTCATTTTTGTTCAATCTTTTGTCATATTTTTTTCTAACTTTTTCTAATTTTCTTTTTTCATTTTTCATTTTTTTTTATATCTTTTCAATTTTCTTTCATTTTTAATTTTCCATTTCTTAATTTTGTTGATATTTATAAATTACTATTTTTATTTCTCCATTTTCTTATTTCTTTTATTCTTTTAATTTTCTTTCTATCTTTTCATTTTATTTTTATTTCTTTGTTTCATTTTTTTTTTTTTTTTATATATCGTTTACATATAGTTTTAATTATAAATGTGATTCCGAAATAATTCTTTTTTATTTTCACGATTTCTTTAATTATTTTATTGTTTGAGAAAATATATATTATATTTTATCGAGATATTCTATTTCATTTTCTTTTTGCAAATTAACGCATTTTAATTCTTCTTTCTCGAAATATATTTTAATTTATTTAAAAAAAAAAAAAAAAAAAAAAATGGCTAAATCCATATCAGTATTTAATAACAAAATTAATAAATAATAACTTTTTAATATTTATATTAATATATATTATTACTTACTTAATATTATTATTATTATTGTTATTATTATTATTATTATTGTTATTATTATTATTATTATTATTATTATTATTATTATATTATTATTAATATTATTACTATAAATAAATATATACATACAAATATATTTTTATACATATCATATATAAAAATATTTAACATTATTATTTAACATGATTTTTAAAAATATTTCTATCATTTAATAAAATATATATATTTTTAGTATGTATATATCATCTGAAATTTAATATTATTACTCATATCATATTATCATCATTTGAATATTTAATATTATTACTATTTAACAAGTGGTCGTGTTATATTTTATCATTAAAAAACAATATATATAAATATATCTAAATATATCTAATATTATATATTCTTATGTATTATATATATATATATATATATATATATATATACATATATTTTATATATTAATATATGATTACCAGTTAAACCCGAACTACTATTACTCCTATTCTTATTTATTATTATCATCATCATGATTATTATTATACTATTGTTATTTTCAGATAAATATTAAATCTATTGATCAAATAAATTTAATAAAATAATTACGATTTATAATTGAACATGAACAATTAATAATTATCATTCTTATTAATATTTTAGTAATCAGAAATTCATCATACGGATACCGATTGCCATATAGAGTATGGTTGTTAATCGAGCCAAAAGATTTGATAACATATATCTGCCTTTGCTGTTATCAATTTATTATTATTCCAAGTATCGTGTTTGGTTACGTTGGTACTGATTGTCTTTTCGTTAGTTTGGTACTTCACGTCAGTGGATTATTTTCTGCATTGTCTTGCAAGGTCAAACATGTATTGGATGATCCAAATGATCGACAACGTCGTATGAAAGATCTAATTGTTAAACACGTACGATTGATTAGGTGAAAAAAAATTATAATTTTTCTTTTTGTTTTATTTATGCCCCTCCCTCCCCCCTTTTTTTAATGCGTACGTATTAATTAATAAAATATACTTTGCGATTTCAGATTGTCGGAATCATTAGAGGATGAATTTAATTTAGTAATATTGCAACAATTGGTTGGTAATACTTTTCAACTTTGTTTATTGGGATACGACGCTCTTGCTGTAAGTTTTATTTATTTATTTATTTTTTTTATTTGTTTGTGATAATTCGATCGATAATAAAACATGTATTATAATATGATATAATACATATATATATATATATATATATATATATATATATATATATATATATATATATAATATCGATCGATAATAAAACATGTATTATAATATGATATAATATATATATATATATATATATATATATATATATATATATATATATAATATATATAATATATATGTATATATATTATATTATATATATATATATATGTAAATATACATATGTAAATACATATTACATATATGTAAATATATATAATATGTATGTATATATATATATATACACACACACATATATACATACATACATACATATATACATATGAAGTTTTATGGTTTAATAATATATTATTATATAGACAAAATATATATATATATATATATATATATATATATATATATATATATATTTAATCAGAGAAATATGAAAAATTTAATTATTAAAATTAATATAGATATTATTAACAAAATATAGAGAAAAAAATGATAATTAATAATTATATATATATATATATATATATATATATATATATATATATATATATATATATATATATATATTATTAAATTTTACGTAATAAAAATATATTTTATTTTTAGAAATAATTTACTTATGTTTAATCAAAATAGATATGAAATATTTAATTATTAATAATTATTTTATTAATTATTATTATTATTAACATATTATTATCATGATATTTAGAATAAGAACAAAAAAAATATATATAGATTATATTTCGACTATTTCAATATTATATACTTATATATACATATATAGTATTTTAAATTATATATATTATTATAGATAATAGTACTATTAATGATAAATTATATATAAATTTAAATAATATATATCATTTGAATATTATAAAATTTATAATTAATATATAGACACACAAACATACGTATATAAAAAATTAATGATATAATTCAATAATCTTTTCATTAATACTAAATCAAAATTTAGATCGATTAGAATAATGAAAAAATTCTGATCAATTTTTTTCAGAGTACAGCCGAGGGGGAAGGTAGAATGTTGGTCGCATTTTTTCTAATCGTCGCTTGCGTGTTTAGCACACTTCTGGCTTATTGTTATATGGGAGAATGTCTCATAAAGGAGGTATTTATTTTTTTTTTTCATTTTTAAATACCATGTAAAAAATAAAAAAGAAAAAACATTCGTCCTATTGCAACGCATTTTTAATTTTTATGTTTATTTATTTATTTTTCATTCTCTTTTTTTTTTACTTTTCTTTTTTTGTTTTTCTCCTTTCAGAGCTCCGTTTTAGGTGATGCATTTTATCACTGTGAGTGGTACAAAATTTCAAGAACGGAAAAAAAATTGATGCACATTTGCATGATGCGTTCGACGAAATTTATGCGACTTACTTCCGGTAAATTTTGCACCTTGTCACTGAACACATTTACCGACGTAAGTTTTTTCAAAATATAATCTTTGTATAATTTCGCAAAAGAAAAAAAAAACACAAGAGAGTAAGAAAGACAAATTTTCTCAGCTACATATTTTCTATTCTTGCTTTCTTTTTTTTCTACCGTTTTTTATTCTTTTTTTTTGTTTTGTTTTAATCACCGCAAACGAACTCGTTTTTAGGTTTTGAAAACATCAATGGCTTATTTTTCGGTGCTACGGACATTCGTTTGAAAAAGGAATCAAATCGCCTTCGATTTAATATATTTAACGAATTGCATATACCAATACATATACATATATATATTTATATATATGTATATATATATATATATATATACACGTACTATATGTGTATATATGTATGTGAATATGTGACTGCACTTTTTTGAAATTAATTATTTAATAATAAAAACAAAAAATAAATGTAGTTTTTTTTTTTCACAAATACATACATATACACATTCAAATGCGCACGTACTCACTCACACACACATACACACATATATATGCAGGCACGTGTTCGCACGCGCGCTCACACATGATTGATCTGAAAAAGAATGTAACAGAGTTTAATTAATTAGCAAAAAATTTCATTATAATTAAAATTGAATTTTATTTTTAATTTAGATCTGAAATAAATAAATAAATAAATAAATAAATAAATAAAATAAAATAAAATAAATTGAGCCGCTCACTTGCCGAATCGATTAAGTCCATAAAAAAAAAGTGTAGAAACTTGATAAAATAATATAAATTACTTTTTAAAATTTCCTTTAAAATATAAATACAAATAAACATTGTAGAATATATAAATGCTGACGTAACTTTCATCTAACAACATGTAAAGTGAATAAAATAGGACAATTTAAAAATAATTGTCATTAACATTAGAACATTTGCATGACTATGGGAGTTAATCGATTTGGCAAGTCAAAAAAAAAAAATTAAACACATTAAATTCCTTTTTATTTCAGAAGAAGTTTTTTTATTTCAGAAGACCATTATTATACATTTTTTATTAAAGATTTTTTTTGCAAAAATGAATAAAATCTGTTACTGCATTATTATTATCAGTTTGTTTAGATCGATTCATCGGCAACATAAAAGATATCTTCTTTATCAGCTGTATGTATTGAGATGACGTGTCAATTTGATCGTAAGTTTTTATAATAAGCAAGTTTAATAGGAAGAATTAATTTCAACAAATCCATCATATCTTTTCTCTTTTTTCTTGTTCACACTGTTCTATCTGTAGGATATAACAATGGTTCCTTTACATTTTTCAAACCTTAAGTAATCTTCATGCTACAGATTTTCTTATATTAATGGCATTAAATTCTGAATCTTTGTTAAAGTCATATTTGAATCGTACGACATGCGGTTTATAATTAACCCTTAACGCTCCGTTGGCTCCGCTATGGAGACATCAGTCATTTGTTCGGTAACTCCGAAGGCTCAGCTGCGAAGCTAAATGTCTTTAGCATGTGATTACGCTTAAGATGTTACGTTAATTAAGAAAACTGAAGTGCCACTTGACCGGTACCATAAAAACAAACAGAAAAGGTATTCCAACAACTCTGAAGAAAGCAAAATTATATGAAGAAAGGACTGTTGCATACACTTTTCCATGAAATGAAAAAGTAAGGAAACCATTGAAAAAGAAAAGAAAATTATTATAAATTTTTCTAATAAATGTAGAACATTCAATGAAATTTCTAAAATAGTAAATAGAATCATTGACAGATATGGAGACCGAAAAATTTTAAAAAGTAATCCATGAAACGAACGTAAACGTAAAATAAATGAGTAAACTGATCAATATATAATTCAAGAAATAAAACAAAATCGGAAGATATGTGCGGTTAACATCGCTACTAAACTTAAAAATAATCTTGATAATTAATGTGTGCAGTAGTACAGTGCGTAATGTTTTACGAATTCCAGAATACCATGGCAGAGTAGCCCGTAGAAAATATTTCGTAAATGAAGTTAATAGAAAGAAATGATTAGAATTTGCGAAAGAGTATGTCAATGTTCCTATGGAGTATGGGAATCGTGTTATATTTATTAATCCTTAACGCTCCGTTGGTTCCGCTACGGAGACATTTGTTCCCTAACTCCGAAGGCTCAGCTGCGGAGCCAAATGTTTTTAGCATGTGATTACGCTTAAGATGCTACGTTAATTAAGAAAACTGAAGTACCACATAACCGGTACCATAAAAACAAACAGAAAAGGTATTCCAACAACTCTGAAGAAACCAAAATTGTATGAAAAAAGGACTGTCGCATACAAACAAGGAAATATAATGCTCTTAGCTTGGAGGGATAAGAGAATAGTATCGTTATTGAGCAACTGGCATAATGCTGAAATGATAACTACTAGAAGATTTATACGAGGTGGTACAAACGAAGTAATTAAAAAGCCAAGTGTAGTTGTCGGGTACACAAAGTCGATGGGTGGAGTTGATTGGACTGATCAATATGCCTCTAGTTATTGCTTTTTGAGGAAATCGTTTAAGTGATGGCGGAAATTGTTTTTCTGGAGAATGGAGATATCAATAATTAATTCATACATTCACTATAAAACTATAGAACACAATAAAAATGAGAAAGCATTGACGCAGTTACAGTATAGAAAAATTTTAGTCGATCAACTCGTAGGAGATTTTCGTCACGATAGAACAAGAGCTTTTACATCAATTTCTGAAATCAGATTAAACGGAAAATAATTCACATAATGAGAAAAGGTGTAAAGAGGAACTGCGTTGTGTGCTCTAAAAGGAAACAAATGGATGGCAGACGTCAAACAAGTGATAACTGTGACACTTGCCCAAGTAAACCCAGAATGAACATGTGAGATCGTTTTCAAAGATATCACAGCACGGTGAATTACAAAATTTAAAATTTATCTTTTATTTACAATAGGAAAATGCATATTTATAAAATAAATAAAATCAAATGCATTCACAAAGACCTGTAATCTTTTCCGCTCAAAATAAGAATAATCCTTTATCTCAGGCATTCCGCTGCAAAAATGTTCTGCCAGAGTTGTTGGTAGGCAGTACTCGAGAAACGCGCGGAACAATAAGGGTTAAAAAAGAATTGTCTATTACGACAATTAGATTGAAACTAACTAATTTATTTTATGCTTTGTTCCCACTAATACTTAAACGAAGTTTGTGTTGTTTCAGCATTGATAAATATACGAGATAAATCTCGTATAATCATTTTATAACTGCAGACAAAATATCTCGCAACTCAATGTTGGTTCATGACACGTTTTGAACGAGATATTTCGTTATGCGATGTTATTTAGCACATACACTTTGGATGAGATATTTAGCGTACCACTTTACAAGGTCACTTCGTTCGATGATTCTCGCATATGTTTCGTCAGTTTTCACTTGGATTTCCTTGAATGTAATAAAATCACTCCTCGACAATTTCGATGGTATCAAATTATTTGTGATAATGAAATCAATAACAGTGACAGCGACGTACAGTTTAATAATGACAATTCGTTAATAGACTCAATCAACTTATAATATCAAGACAATGCTAAATACCAATAGCAACAGTACATTTTGAATCATTTATTATAAATTATACGGATGATAATGACGGAGTGCAATAGCAGTCTGATTTAACAGAAAAAAAGTTGCCCAGGTTCTATTTTTGAATTATCCTTTAACCAAAAGTTTATTCAAAGAATTATTAATAAAGATAATAAATACAGGGGGGAAAAGAAAACAAGCTTTCTCGAGTGCGATTTTGCAATTTTACAATTAGTAATACTTATTCAATCATCGCGATCATTATATTGGGGAAAAAGAAATCAATTTATTTTTTTGATAGATGCCTGTAGTGATCGATATATCTCGTAAAGTATCGATCAAACAATTTCAGATTTATGCTCGTTGTCAAGATGACATTTCACACTAAAAAAATTCTTTTGCTGTTTTTTTGAGTTACAGGGTGTTAAAAATGAAAGTCAACAAAGAGAAAATTCGATACATTTTACAGTTTTTTTTTTTGATAAAGGTGAAAATGCAAGCCAGGCGGTTGAAATTGTGAATGGTGTTTATGATCCCGATACTGTAATAGCTAATTACGTGCAATTTTGGTTTCGTCGATTCCGTTCAGATATTTTTGATGTTAAAGACGCACCTCGCACAGGCAAGCCCGTCGTCGAAAATGTCGATAAAATCACAGAAATAATCGAAGTTGATCGGCATGTTAATAGTCGTATCATCGCCCAGGAGCTAAAGATCGATCATAAAACAGTTTTAAACCATTTGCACAAAGCTAGATTTAAAAAGAAGCTCGATGTTTTGGTGCTACACCAATTAATATCAAAAAACATGATGAATCGAATTTCCATTTGCGAAGCTTTGGCTAAACGGAATGAAATCGATTCATTTCTTAAATGGATGATGACTGGGGATGAGAAATGGATCACATAAGACAATACTGTGCGAAAACGATCGAGGTCAAAGCGCGGTGAAGTAGCTCAAACGGTGGCCAAACCAGGACTAACGACCAGGAAGGTTCTGCTGTGCATTTGGTGAGACTGGAAAGGAATCATTTATTATGAGTTGCTTCCATATGGCCAAACACTAAATCCGGATCTCTATTGTCAACAACTGGATCGTTTGAAGTTAGCGATTGACCAAAAACGGCCAGAATTGACCAATAGAAAAGGTGTTGTGTTCCGTAAAGACAACGCCAAGCCATACATGCCTATAGTGATTCACCAGAAACTCCGGGAGCTTGGTTGGGAAGTTTTAATGTATCCACCATGTAGTCCGGACTTGGCACCAAGCGATTATCATCTTTTTCTCGCATTGCAAAACTTCCTGAGTGATAAGAAATTGGCATTAAGAGAAGATTGTGAAAATCGATTATTAGAGTTTTTCGCCAATAAGGACCAAGACTTCTGTGAGAGAGGCATTATGAAGCTATCTTTAAAATGGCAACAAATTATAGAACAAAATGGTGTATATTTGACCCAAATCGGACAATCCGAAACATGTCAACCCTTTGAGTGCTGAATATTCGTGGCCTATGTAGTCCGTATGGATGGCGCGCGGCTGATGCTGACGATCGCCGGGAACTGAATACTTTTTCGCGCAATAAAAACAATTGCCGAACATATACATTTGACCATAGTACACTGATCATTTTTGCCAGGCGCGTATTTGCGTCCATAGTCCATACTGATAGCATCTGCCGAGCGCGTATTTGCGTTCATAGTCTATATCGATAGCTTTCGCTGGACGCATATATGCGCCCATAACACTCAAAGGGTTAAATAAAGTCTTGAAGTTCATGCAAAAATAATGGATTTCTTT